AACTTCGAGTAGACGATTTTTTTGCTGGGAAACTTGGAAAAAGCAATATTTTTTCAATCGCAATTACTGTAATAACCCAGAACAGAACTATTTGACAAGCAAAGACCAAGAGTGCTTACGACGAACATAGCTCGTCAACGGGCCTGGCCGCACCACTCGCCAAACCTCAACATTTGAATGTATCTGCAGCTCCCAGCTGTCCGGATACATTCAAAATGTTGGCGTCCGGAGAGTGGTGCAGCGAGGCCCAATTTCAAATTTCAGTACAACATACACGTGCTCTGGCATTCAAAATACGCGCACGATCCCCTACGCACGTGTCGCTGGGCTGCACTAACCACGTGTGCGATCTGGGGAATATCCTTTTTTAGTAAGGTTTTTTTTTTTTTTTTTTTTAACAACTACCGTGTTCCCCCGAACACAACGCACCCTTATTTTGGCTGTATCTGGCCGGAAATATAGCTTGTGTACATTCATTTTTAGGGTGCGTTATGTTCGGGGGAAGACGGTCGCAGCAGAACATCATTCCTCCTGCGTGTACGACACAGTGTCACGCGCGGGCATCGTACGGTCGCGGGCAGCTGAGCAAATAGAGAAGCCGAAGATCTGGCCGCGATCGAAGAGCAGACACCTAAGGAAGGTACTGCCAACTGTAATGTGAGGGGCTTTTGGCGCACGCACAGCTAGTACATCAATCCTCACGTGTTCTATTCGAGGAGAGCTATGAATGGGTATTATGAGAACAATTCTCTTACCTCCGCCAGGATAGAGGGATATCGCAAGGGCATTTTTTCAAAAACAAAAAAACAAAAAAAACAAAAAAAAACAAAAACCTCGTTGGAATCTTTGGAGCTGGATTCCTGTATTGACATGAAGAATGAGGGATTAGCCATGGTCGCGAGAGGTCGCGGCTACTTGAAACATCTGACGTTGAGGAGGTGTGATACTTGTGAAAAGATAAAACATGTCTCAGTTGCCTTTAGTGTGCCTATTAGCACGTCTCTTTTGTCAGCGAGGACGGGAGGAACTACTCCCATACATTCTCTTAATTCTGTCGGATTGTATTTGCACAGCTGTTTAGGAGGAAGTGTGTAGGGGCTGTTTCAGGGTGGCTCAGGGTGTATCCCTTGGTGATATCAGCAGCGGCGCTATCACGAGCAGTGAGAATGTAACGGTGGCGGTGGGAACGCTACTGGTTAGTTGGTAGGAGAGAACCGGTGAAGAGCAAAACTTGAGTTGTATCCATTGTGATCACTCAATTCACAAAGATCCAAGGGTGCGTGGTGGGAAACCCGTCATGGCAACTCAGGCTCTTTGCGTTTTATGGACAGCATAGCAAGGACAAGAAAGCTCTGAAGAGCTGATGGGTTTATCGTATCAGGGATAAACCAACTGTCGCATATTTGTTTTGGCGAAGGCTTGGTTGGTTTTCTAGGGGGTGCATATAGGTGCTGCAGTTCTAGTGGTTCATTAAAGCTTTATATACAATTTCATGGGTAGCAGCACTACAGAGGCAGTGTGAGTGCCACCGCTGGTGGTGGGAGTGCTATTCCTTGGAGTTGGGATCATTAGGATAGGAAGAAAACTTGAACTGTATCCATGGTGATCTTGGTTCGACTGACCGTAGATTTTATCGAAGATCCAAGGGTGCGTGGTGGGAAAGCCGTAAAGGTGGTTCAGGCTTCCTTTGGACTGCAGACGTATTTGACGTATTTGAGTGAACTTTCATCAGAAGGATCAAGGGTCGTTCATCCTTGAGTTTAGTCCAGGACTGTGAGTAGGAAGAATGTTCAAAATGGTTTTAAGATATTATCTGGCTGAAGGATTTGGGTAGTATATCTGTCTTATTTCGGCCACCTTTTATTGAGCTTCAAGTTGGTGGTTTTGAGAGGTTTTAATTCTGTTGAGATAAGAGGGCTCCGGGGACGCTGGACCCGGTTTCCAGCAAGGCTCTTGGTGACTCCGGGTTGAATTGTGAGGTCCCCGGCCTCAGCCACTCGTTTTTGGAATATAAAGTGACAACTTCTCAAAAAAAAAAAAAAGAACAAACTCACATTGTCTGACTGGGAAGCCCCGGTAGCGCGCCTGGATCGACACGGGAGTTGACTCGAGGTAGGCTTGTGGCCAAGCTATATATAGACTGTGGATAAGGCAAGCCAAGCTATTTATAGTTTAGATAAAGCTATGCAGCGTGGCTATGATGACATGCATTATAATGAACAGGATTCTGTCATACCCCCCAAGGGGCCTAATTGGAGACTTAGGATTAAGGGGTACTAAAAAAAAAAAAAAAAACACTGAAAAAAAGGGGGATGTAACAGACGCCCTTCGGGACATCTGTTAAAATTAGAACGATACAGAGAAAGAAGATTAGCATGGCCCCTGCGCAAAGGATGACCCGCATAAATCGAGAAACGGTCCAATTTTTGTTTTTTTTTAAAGAAAGGAATAGAAATATGAGAAGAAGTATCTGACCTCATATTCGGCCGTATTCACGCCAGAAAGTCGTCGTCTGAGTATTGCCCTCAGAGGTCAGTTTTCTTACAGTGGACGGCTCCAAAGAAAGAACTATGTAAAAAAGATCCACAAAGATCGTCAAGAAGTGGTACTCCCACAGTCCCCCTCGGCACGGTCCCGCTAGCAGCAGGCAGGATAGGTTCAGATGAGAGCAAGTAATTGATTGTCAGTCAATCGGATCTGTCATCTGGATGGCTCACAATTGATGACTAGGTTCAGATGGGAGTTAATTGATTCCCGGCCGTCCGGATCTGTCATCTGGATGGCTAACAATTGATTGGATGACCGCGGCGACGGTCCCGCTAGCATCAGGATGGGTTTAGGTGGGAGTTAATTGATTGCCGGCCGTCCGGATCTGTCATCTGGATGGCTAGCAACTGATTGGATGACAGCGGCGACGGTCC